ACCACCCCCGTGTCAGTGCTTGGCTTGGGGTTTTGAGGGGACTATATCTGGTGCCAGGGATTGAACCTGGGTCTGCTGAGTGCAAGGCAAGCGCCCTACCCACTGTACTATCTTTCCAGCCCAGACACTGTTATTTTGTGAGTCCAACCCTCTTCAAAGCTGGGTCCAGCCGATCCGTGGCCAGCTGGACCACTGCGCACTGCTGGATCATCTCTGGGAGTCGCGCTTGGACCCTGGTGCCACCCAGAGGGGCCACTGCTCTGTGAGGACCAAGGCCATGAGGGAGGTGGAAGGAGCTTTCGGATTAGGGAATCCTGGATCCAACTGGGGTCTTCTGTAAGGCAGAGGCTTTGGGGAAGTGACAGAAACGCTCTGAGTCTGGGTAATGTCTTCTGGAGAATGGCATGCTTTACCTGTTCACTGGTGATGAAATTCTAACACACACACACACACACACACACACACACACACACACATACACACACACACCCCCTTTGTGGTAAGCATTTGATAATATAATCTCAGAACTTCTCTTACTGATCATTTTCGGAGCCTTCACCTGCCCACTGTGCGCCCGGGCTCTGTCTATGCCAGGTCAGGCTCGGTGCGTGATCAAGGTTGGTCACAAACTGGAGCCAGAGCTCTCGGGTTTATTCAAGGAAACCACAGCTCCCAGGGTTGGCCAGTTAGGACAGCAGGGTAGGCCCTTGCCTTGAATGCAGCACCCCTGGGTTCAATGTCCCGCATTTCATATGGTCTCCTGAGCACTGCTGTGCTATGAATCTCAGTGAGATAGAGACAGAGAGATGGGGGAGGGAGGGAAGGAAGGAAGGAAGGAAGGAAGGAAGGAAGGAAGGAAGGAAGGAAAAAAGGAAGGAAGGAAGGAAGGAAGGAAGGAGGGGAGGGAGGGATGAATGAAGGAGAGAAAGAAAGAAAGAAAGAGAGAGAAGGGGGAGGGAGGGAGGAGGGAGGGAGGAAGAAGGAAGGAAGGAAGGGAGGGAGGCAGGGAGGGAAGGAGGAAGGGAGGGAGGGAGGAGGGGAGAAAGAGGGAGGGAGGGAGCGAGGAAGGAAGGAAGGAAGGAAGGAAGGAAAGGAGGGAGGAATGGAGGGAGGGAGGGAGGGAGAGAGGGAAAGAGGGAGAGAGGGAGTAAGGAAAAAAAGGGAGGGATGGAGGAGGACAACCACAGCGCCTCCTAGTATGAGCAGCTGAGCCAGCTGCACCCCAGGTGCCCAGAGGAGCACCCTGACCCTACCCCCAACCAGCTCAGTCCTTTGCTCATTATCTCTGGGCAGCAGGTGGTCAGGAAGCAGCTGCCAGCTGGCGGTCAGGCCACCCAGCCTTTGGCCAATGGTCAAGACCACCAGCTGTGTCCTCCCTGTTTTCTTCCCCACACCCTGACCACTGAGGCGGCCCCACCTGTTGGGGTCACAGGTGTCCTGCTCCCTGCTGGGCTCTGACTGGCACGTCTCCCGGTGCCAGGTTGGGAGGCTGGTGCTCAGGCTCCAGTGCCTTGACCCAGATCACTCTGTGGAAACCCTGGGCCTGGCATGAGGTTGGCAGCACAGGGCATGGCTATATCTTGGGTAGGAAGAAGAGAGAGGCTGCCAAGCTGGAGCTCTTGGTGCCTCAACAGAAACTCTTCCCAGGCTGGGGCCCCGAGCACCCCAGCACAGAGACCAGCCCAGGGGCTGGCCAGACTGGTCTTCCTCAACCCATTCTGGCTCCCCCCCCCAAAGATTATGGATTTCTCCTGTTCTGTCCCAGAGACACCCCCCTGTGTCCTGCTTTGGACCCATAGACACCCCCCCCCCCCACACACACACACCTGGTTTGACTCTCTGCAGTCCTTGGAAGGAGATTCTTAGGGGAGGAATTCATGTCCCAGGAGATAAAATAACTTTCCCAAAGTCACAGAGCAAACTAGAGTCAGTCAAACTCGTTCCTGCATCACTCAGTCATCCCTGGAGGGGGCCACATCCTGCAGTGCTCAGGGCTTACTCCTGGCTCTGAGCTCAGGAATCATGCCTGATAGGATTTGCGGGACCCTGTGGGGCGCCTGAGTTGGTCACATGCAAGGTGAACACTTTTCCTGCTGAACTATCTCTCCGGCCCCAACAATTCCTTGTTGACAGTTTCCTCCGTCTTTGGGAACTGAGTATAGACTAGAGACTGAAGCCAACCCGGTGGTGTTCAGACCGCAGAGCACTGTGGTTAGGGAGATGCCCGAGAGGAGTCAGCCGCCGCTGCTCTGTGCTCAGCTCAGAGAGGGCATGAAACAGTCATGGCAGCAGAGCTGGAACAGCAGGGCCCCGGGGAAGCATGCAGTAGCCTGGGCTGGGGCAGCTTTCTAGGGGACCTGATGGGTAACAGAGCCAGGTGACAGAGTTGAGTGGAAGGGACAAAGTCTGTGCAGAGAAGGGAGAGACCAGGCGAGGCTGGGGGGATTGGCCAAGACGCGCCCCCTCCCCGGGATTCCCTGGGAGCCCCCAGAAACCAACCGAAGGCTCCAGGAGCTAGTCCCTGCCATAGTGTGGTGGAGGCTGTTGGCACCGGGCCAGGTGCTACCATCTGCTTTTGACAGGGATGCGGGGGGGGGGGGGACAGAGTGGGTGAAACAGAAAAGCACCAGAGCTAAGGTGGTGGCGTTGTGGCGAGTGACAGTCAGATGGGAGAGGGAGGCACGGCTGTCAGCTGCACAGGGACTGGAGGGGCTGACCTCAGATGGGACTGAGATCACATGGAGAGAGGAGACCCAGGGGTTGACGTGCAGGGCAGAGGGAGACAGAGGGAAAAAAAGAAGCAAGAGAATGAGGGGAGAAAATGCTTCCACCAGGACGGGCAAGTGGGGTAACATCCCTGAGAGATGGCACAGAATGAGAGTGCACGGAGACGGGACAATCGCAAACGGGCCCGGTGACTCCAGAGAAAGAGATTTCAGTGGGGACATAGGATCGGGTTGGGAGCAGGTTGAGGGCTCCGAGCGGAGACTCCCCCCGAACTGGTCTGACCTAACACTCCTCTTTCAGAAAACAAACAAAAAACCATGCAGGTCCCCCCTTCCCTGCCCTGGAAATCTGCTTGCTTTGAATGTGCCCTTGGCCCTAACTGCACCTAGTTCCTCCTATCCCCTGAATGGTGCCAGCAGGCCCCACTTCTGAGGGGAAAGATCATGGTGGGGTGACAAAGAGGAGAAGTAACCAGAGACCAAGCTGGAGGCACAGCGGGGAGGGAGACAAAAACCAGTTTGTTTGGTTTTTGGGTGACACCAGGCAATGCTAAGGGCTAACTCCCGGCTCTGAGCTCAGGGATCACTCCTGGAGGTGCTTGGGGAATCATATATGATGCCAGGGTCTGCCACGCGCCAGGCAAACACCCTACCTGCTTGTCCTGTCGCTCCAGCCCCTATACTCAGCTGTGTTGAGTGGGGGTGGGGGTGGCATGTGGTACCGCGGATGGAACTGGAACCTTGTGCAGACAAGACATGTGCTTGGGCCCTTTGCACTGTCTCCCCTGGCTGAGAGAACTTTGGAAAGTGTGTGAAGCCACTGAACAGACCTCTCCTCACTCCGGTGCTAGGGATAGGACCCCGGTCTCATGCCAGCACGTTCCCGCTGAGTCACATCCCGGCACCAAATATAGCTTTCTGAGGCTGGCACTCAACGCCTGACACGTGTGAGGCATGTGCCCCACGGCTGGGCCACATCCTGGTCCCAATTTAACATACATTTTAAACACTGAAATATTCACTGTGAGGAAAAGGCAAGCCCGAGTATAGCTTTTTCCGCCCCGCGTGTGCTGTGTTCCTGTGAGTTGCCAATCAGGCAGGCTGCGGACATCAGATTTTTTTTTTCCAGGCTTCAGGGCTCTGCAGGGCAGGGGGTGCTCACACTGAGAGCCCCCTTCAGGCCCCACCAGCTGGGCTGTCAGTCCCAGAAACCCACCCTCCTGCCTTCATTTGCATCTCGTTAGCTGGGCCGAGCTGGTGGCTGAGCTCGGTAGCCCCGGAGCCAGCCAGGAACTGAGGCTGCAGGCTGGCCCTGGCCCCCTCCCAGGCCTGGAGATGGGTGCAGCCTCAAGTTCCCCCACCCCCCTCGGCTGGGCTCCCCTGCGGCACGTTCCTATGGCAACCGGGTGAGGGTGAGGGTCTTGGTTCAGGCAGAAGAGCCTGCTGTTCCCCCCTGCCGCCGCCCAGGCGGGGTTGGTGATAGGCAGCGCCTCCATCTCCTGAGATGATCGGTGATAATTGGTTTATGGAAATAGCTGAGGGGAGAAGCCGCTCCCCGTGAGGAAGCAGCCTCCCCGCCAAGACCGCTCTCCACCACCTGTCCATCCTCGCCTGGAAATGGAGCTGTGTGGGGGGGGCGGGAGGTGCCAAAGCAGGGGCTCTTTCCCACCAGCCAGGGTTTCACCTGTTGGCCTCCAGTGTGCTGACTGTCCCCCAGTGTCCACTGGGGTGGGGGGAGGCTCAGTCTATCCTTGGTTCTGTGCTCAGGCCTCTATGTCAGATGTCTGTTGGGGGAGTGGCAGAGAAGATCTGGAATTCACCCAGCCAGATAAAGGGAGCCTCAGTTTGGGCGACAAAAAGCAGCACTTAACTTTACGGACATAGAGCTCATCTGTCCAGTGGGGCCCAGGATCAGGAGAGCTCAACCCTGATGGCTTCCTGGAGGCGGTGGCGGCAGGGACATGATTCAGCTGGTGCTGGGGTGAGGACTGTGTCCTCCTCAGAAGGAAGAGCCTGGTATGCAGGCCCTGGTAGACTGTAATGAGGGCTCCTAGGGGTGCAGGAGGAGAGCGGAGGGCAGCAGGGCTGGGCTGGCGGCTCCCAGGCTCTGGGGGAGGGAAAGGCTGGCAGGATCCTCAAAGGAGTGTGTCCCTGGCTCACTGGCCCCAGGGACCCCAGGAAGTGCAGCTGCAATGAAGTCACATATAAGGAGCCCCCACCCTGGCCAGTCCCCGCTGCTGTCCCTCCACCCATCCCAGTCCAGCCACTACTCACAAGGCCACGAAGGGGCTGGGCACAGCGCCATTCTTGCAGAGGGGGAGGCCGGTGGCCCCATGCAGCGTCACCGTGACGGTCTCCCCGTTCGACGGGGACAGGTGGCCAGGAGCGTCTTGGTTTGGGGACACCCTCAGGGTCTCAGGGGCCTGGGGAAGAATCAGGACTGAGTGCTCTCTTCCGGGGTGCTCACCTCCCCCTAGTGCTCCCCGTGAACCTGGCCCCTCAGGGTCTTCCTCCCATGCCCAGTCTGAGATGACGGGGACACTCTCCTTTAACACGGTCTCCCTCTGCCCTCGGCCCTTACCCCCAGACCCTCTCACATCCCGGCCGCCTTCTGAAACAGGCTCTGGGCCTTTGACACCCAGGTTGCCTCCAAGTCTGGCCTCCTGCAGCTCTGCGGCGAGTCCCCAGTGCCACCTGAGGCCTGGGTCCTGCCACCTCAGTGGACGCAGCACTCCCATGTTCATAGAGCCCATCCCTAGCGTGGGTCATTCCTGAGGCCTTCACAGAGGTGAGTGAGGGCCTCAGCTGTCGTAGGCTGACGCCCCAGCACACTCACTCGTAGCTACTGACTTCCTGACCCAGAGCACTGTGAAAGCTGCCAATCCAGACCAGGGCATTCAGGGAAGGCCACTAGGAAGAGGCGGCCTGAGGGCTGGGAGAGGCCTGGGTGGAGCCCAGAGCAGAAGCCAGAAAGCATGTCACAGGGGTGAGGTCCTCTAGGCCAGAGGCTAGTGTTGGCAGCAGAGCCAGGGAGGATGGAGAGAGGCGTGGATGGCGACTGTGGCTGGGGTGTCTGGGCTTCCCTCTGCTGCCTCCCACGCGGCCCAGCCCTGAGCCCACAGCGCACAGTGCCTCCTCGGGAAGGCCTCGGGGAGGTGGGCCTGGGGCAGTGCAGGATTGTGGGAGGCTGGGAAGCCCAGCAGTCAGAGTCCATTCTAGGACAGGACCTCATGGGGAGGTGTGTGTGTGTGTGTGTGTGTGTGTGTGTGTGCGTATGTATGTGTGTATATGAGTATGTGTGTGTGAATACGAGAGTATATGTGAGAGTGAGTGTGTCTGTGTGTATGTACAAGTGTGTCTAATGTGTATGTATGAATGTGTATAGGTGTGTGTATGTGTGTAGGTGCATGCGTGAGTATGTGTGTAAGGGGGTATGTGTGTATGTCTGGATATGTATGAGTATATGTGTGAATATGTGTATATGTGCTAGTGTTTGTATGAGCATGAGTGCGTGTGTATATGTGTGTGTGAATGCATGTGTTTTGTGTGTGTGAGTATGTATGTGTGAGTGTGTGTGTATATGTGTACTGGGAGGTTCCTTGGAGGGGGAAGGTTCCATGAGATCATAAGAATGCATCCTCCCTCACAGAGGAGGACTGAGGCCCACAGAAGATGCTCAGGGATCACTCCTGGCAGTGCTCGGGGGACCCTATAGGAATTGAACCCAGGTCAGCTGTCTGCAAGGCTGTGACCTTCTTCCCTATACTATCTCTCCAGCTTCTCTCCTCCTTCTCAAAGAACAATTCTTTCTAATTCTGAGTCTGATCACTTTTATTACTCAGTGTTTCCATTCATTCCTCTAACCAACACAGAGACCATCTGGAGCCACTGCTCTGTCACCTGCCTAACAGCGGAGTAGGTGAGAACATGCCCACCCCGTCCCCTCCCAGAGCTGCCAGCCCCAGGGGACACCCCCCAGCTTCTCTGACTGAGGGTCCCCCTCCCGCACGAACAGGGCCCATCACCATCTGCAGAAGTGTTGAGTGCCCCTCCCCCACGACTGTCAGGCTCCGAAGGAAACTGTCATTGGAAGGGGAAAGGGGGAGCGACATTCCCAGTCTCTTCTCATCATACCCCTGCATCCTGGGGCCCAGAGCCCGCTTCAGCCCTGCTCTGCCCTCAGCCCTGCTGTGCCTCAGCCCTGCTGTGCCCTCAGCCCTCTGTAGGGATCTCTGAATTCAGTCCTCAGGAATTGACCCAAGGTTCCTGCCATGAAAGAGGCCAGGAGGGTGACCAATGTCTCTCTCACCCCAAATCCCAGGATGGCTGCCCCAAGTCCCTTGCTGCTGCCAGGGCTTGTCACGGGTCCCTGGCGCCCCAGAAGGGAGGACCTCACGGTGTGAGGTTCACTCCAAGGCCTGCCCATCTGGGACAGACTTCTTGGAAATAATCCGTGGTGGGGGATTGTTGGCAAGAACCAAGAACCATTCCTGCTGCCTCTCTGGGCAGGAGGCCAGCTGCCAGGCGGAGCCTCCTGGTGAGGCTGCCGGCATGTGCCTGCTGCTTGGGGGGCCGGGGCCAAGTGGAAGGCCTGGGGTGGGGGTAGGGGGCCTCCGGCCCTTTCCTACCAGGTGGAGAGACCACACAGACTCCTGGAGCCTGCCACTGGGTGCCCTTCCCCCAACACACACGCAGCGGAGAACATAAAGGTAAAGGTAAAGGCCCTCCCGTTGATCGTCGATTTGCTTGAGCGGGCCCAGTAACGTCTCCATTGGAGACTTTGTTGTTACTGTGTCTGGCATATTGGATACTCTCGGTAGCTTGCCGGGCTCTCCGAGAGGGGCGGAGGAATCGAACTCGGGTCGGCCATGTTGGCCGCTTGTAAGGCGAACGCCCTACCGCTGTGCTATCACTCCAGCCCATATCAAGGAATAAATAGAAAATGCTGGGGTGGTGTAAAATACAGCAGGTAGGGCACTTGCCTTGTACACAGATGACCCGGATTCAATCCCCACATCCCATATGGTCCCCTGGGCTCCATCAGGAATGATCACGGAGGACAAAGCCAGGGGTAAGCCCTGAGCACTGCTGGGCGTGGCCCAAAACCAAACAAACAAAAAAAAGAGAAAATGCATATGCTGGGCTACATATGGCAGCAACTATGGGTGCTGGCAACCACTTCTTCTTCCTGCCCTCAATCCTAAGTGATGTCCCCGTGTCCTGTGTGCTTGGTGTTAAACAGGGTCCAGTTACAGTAGGGGGTGAGCAAGGCTTGGCAGCAGACCCCTGAAAGGGTTCTTCAGGGCTGCTGCACAGACCCTGGAGATGGAGGATGAGTGTGATCATGTACAAGGGACAGACTATCATCCTCTGAGTCATCAAACACCGACACCAGCCAGAATGGCCTTGAGACAGAACTCCCTGCTCTGCCCACGACCTTGAACTTTTTTTTTGGGGGGAGCGTCATACCTGGCGATGCACAGGGGTTACTCCTGGCTCATGCACTCAGGAATTACTCCTGGGGGTGCTTGGGGGACCATACGGGATGCGGGGAATCCAAGCCGGGTCAGCCGCATGCAGGGCAAACACCCTACCCGCTGTGCTAACACTCCAGCCCCGACCTTGAACTTCTGACTCACTGTCCTAGCCAGTCTGCTAGAACTCCCAGCCCCAACCTGAGAAATAAGATGGTTTGGCAGGTGGGGGAAGCATGAGTTCATTGTCTTCGCTGGTCACTCTTCAATCAGCTCTTGTTTCTATCAGCCTCATCCTAGATATTGGCCTTCAGGAGGTGGGCATCCAAACTTGAGTGTGGTCACAGAAAGACAGGAGCCATAAAAGTATGCAAGAAGCTGGCCTGAGCTAATAAATGGAGTTTGATCCCACAGGAAAGTCTATGCCACCTGTAAAAACATTTCCCAGGGAGATGGGAGGTGATCCAAAGAGCACGTGTTTGGCATGTGGGAGGCCTGGGTTTGATCCCCAACACTGCATGGTTCTTTGAGTACTACCGAGGACAACCTGCAGGCACTTAGCCCACTGGGTTCCCCCCCCACACGTAAGTCAGTGAACTGTCTCCCAAAGCGATGAGTCAAGTGAAAGAAATCTGGATCCTTGTCGGGATGCCCAGGCATTCCTTCCTCCTCGAGGACCCCCAAATCCAGTATGGGTTGGTCGATGGGAACGAGCTTTAGGAGCTGAATGGTAGCTGGGTAGGCCAGACCATTTTGGCCTGACCATCAGCGGGCAGCTTGCAGTCAGATGAGCAGTCAAAGGTGTGTGTTGAGAGAGCAGGGAGGAAATACGGAGTGAGACACCAAGTACACATATCAGAGTGGGGTGCAGGCATTCGACCTGGCGGTGTTACCCAAAGGGGACCCTCAGCTGGCAGGGAATGGGAGTGTCTGGGGCTAGCCCCAGCCCCCAAGGCAGACAGAGATTCCCGTCCCCTACAACTCCTTCCTGTCCCATCCTGTCCCCTCTATCAGGCACCTATTCTGTGGGGGATCCACCCGGGGTTCGAGCAGACCAGCCCTGCTCTGCACTCGTGTGCCAGGGCAGGAGGTCAGCCCACTGGGGGGAGGGACACAGTGCCAGTGTGTGGCCTGGGAATGACCCTGAGGGTCTGGGGGTATTAGGGGCAGGGCCAAGGATTTAGTACAGGGGTCAGGGCACATGCCTTGCAATGCACCAGGACCTGGGTTGATCCCCAGCACCAAGTGGCACTCTGGGGGTGACCCTGGTGGCCCAGCTGCACTGCGGCCTTGGCCTCTCATGCTCCTGGTACCCAGAGACCCTCACAGCACTGAACACTGCTTGAGAACCCCCCAGTCCCGGAGAAAAGATCTTAGAAGAGGCAGTTCAGTGGGCAGCCTAAGCCCCGGGACCCAAACAGGAAACTTTTCTAGGCCTGGAGGGCAGTGCTGGCCCCCATCCCTGCAATCTTTCTCTGGGCGGCAGGAAGATGCAGAGAGACCAGGTAAGGCGGTCAGTGCTGCTAATATCATTGAACATGTCTTTCAGAGACCACCCAAACCAACAGGCTGAGTACAGGGATCAGAACCAACACCCTCAATGCCCGCAGCCTCCTCTCAGACCCAGACAGGACTTGAAACCCTAAGGAACTGTGGCGACCGCCTCCTGGAGCCCCTCCTCCAGCTGTGATAACAGCGACTCAGAGAAACCTCTCTGCAGATGCCATTTAGAAACAAACCAGGGGTTGGAGCAATAGTATAGCAGGTAGGGTGTTTGCCTTGCATGCAGCCAACCCAGGTTCAATCCCCGTCATCCCATAAGGTCCCCTGAACACCGCCAGGAGTGATTTCTGAGTGCAGAGCCAGGAGTAACCCCTGAGCACTGCTAGGTATGACCCCAAAACAAAAAAACAAA